AGCTCGTGCATCCTCTCAGCTAATGCTGAATCATTCACAGTGAATTATCTTGTTCATCCAAGCATGTGATACACTTTAGGTACATCTTCCTTATTAGGTGGCTCGCAGTTTGGGTTGAGGTGGGCTTTGCTATTAAATACTGATTTTCCCTGAGAGTTTCCCAAGTGCATTGTAGGTAAATACCCAAACTGTTTTTTGGAAGCATGAGACCTATTATCTCTCCAGCTTTTGATAGTTTTGTTTTTGATATGGATTTGTGGTAGGTTTCATTTCATGTTGAAAAGCAGCCCTGAAGGTGGTAGTATTTTTGTGCTTCTTTAGAAAATAATACCTTTTCCACTTAAAAATGACAGTACCTAATTTTTGTCATTGACTTTAGCATCTCTCTTGAGTCAAAACGTACCAAGCAAGATAGACCTGGCGATTTGTTTTTTATTTTAATGTCCAACTCTAATAGCAAAATGTCAGGTGGAGGCTTTATCCAACGCTAATATGAACAGAATTATCTTGCTTTAAAGTATCTGTATTCGATACTTTGAAAGGCATACTGGACTCTGTTTTTTAATGTGTGCTTATGTCTATGCAACTTTTTGATGGGAGTAAAATAAGGTCGCTTTCTTACTGACTGGTATTGGCTTGATGCCTTGCCAATGAAACAGTATTATGTTTAGCTGATGTCTGCTACCAGTTTACTAATTATCTGTGGTCAACTACAATATGTATAATTTAATGCTTTAAGGTTTAAGTAATTTATTTAACTTAATTTGCCTACTCAATTTACATCTACATTTTAAGAAGGCCTAATTTATTTCTGATATTAAATTTCTGTGTATTAACATTATGCAATACTAAGCAACTGCTTACCAGGGAAGACTCTTTTTGCAGGTGAATGAGTGTTTTCTATCATGTATTCTACATGTCATCTTTCAAAGGTTTTTTTTGAATGAAATCCAGTTCATAGATTTAAAATACGATCCTGTAAATTATATAGTCCAGTGTTCTGCAGCTACATCAAGGTTTTTACCAGAGTGGAACCTGTCTCAATTCATCTCAGCCCTTTTTCATGTTTCTACAATACTACAGATAAAACGACACTCTTCATAAAGTACAGTGTGTAAGAGACTGATGCACAAACTAAAAGGACAGGCAAATGTGTCCATTAGCTTAAAAATCCACAGAAAAATCTCTCCCAAAAGCCCTTGCCTTACTGAGCTCTGGTTTTATGCCTTCAAGAATATGGGATTTCTGTTGTCAATAACCATTTACAAAAGTACTAGAAATGAGGTGCTCAATAAGTAACTTCCATATTTGTTTAAAGTGTTTAAAACTCTAGATACAATATTTAAAGTAGGAGTGCAATAGGCTCGACTGAGACTTTGATTAAATGTCATATAAACTACATATGCCTGCATAGAATAGTAGGTATTTTTTCAAAGTAGCTTCAAATGGTTCTGTTAAGTATACGAATGTTCTGATGATTATCTTTTTAATTAAAATGAGAAATCTTTGTTTAAAGTGGCATTCTTTTTTACGGCCTGTTACAGTCTCTGTAACAATCATTTCTTAAGTCTGAACGTTTTTAATTCCAGGAATCCATTTATATAAAACTATGTTTAGACTTAATTAAGGAATGATTCTTACAAAGCTTGTAAATAGCCAGGAAAAAAGGGACAGAAAATAAAACTGACATTCACACTTAACAGAATGATTGTTACAAGGTATGTAATATGCTATAAAAATACAATAAAGCCCTTTTTATAAGAGTTCATATTTTTTGTTCCTCATTTTGAAAGGTATTTAAGAAAAATATCAAAGCTCACTGAAGCAACATCTGTTTTCTTGAATGGACTAGTGACAACTTCAGTTGTGTTTAATTAACAGTGCTTGGGGCTGTACCTGACCAGTTTGGGATCCTATCTAGGATGGCTTGGGAGGCAAGAGCTTGATATTTAATGAAGTTTCTTAGTTCTTCTGAGTGAATAAGTCTGCAGAACGTAATTTCATTTCTTGGCTTGTGAATAGGAAAGTGTTGAGACTAGCATTCTTCATGAGTGTCTTTTTTCTGTTTCACCCCTGAATTAATGTTTTCATGATTCTTGGAGGTCCTGATGGCCTTTCAGTTTCACAGGAGAACCAAACCCTTTTGGTTGCTTTTAAGATGCATCTGTAGGGTTTTTTGTTTGGTTTTTTTTGTTTGTTTGTTATACTGAGAGGAAACACTGAAGTTCCTTAATTTTTATGTTCTCATGTTTGTAGGAGCTTCCACATAACTGACAGGTAATATAGTAAGGAATAGTCAGTGTAATTGCAGGTAGGATGGTAGTAGACTTGGAATATATCTTCCCCCACCCCATCTGTGTGTGTTTACACTGAACCTCTGTGATTTATGGTGTCAGTAGGACTGGGATTTTTAAGATGCAGGACTGGTTAGCTATTGTTTTAAAACTTTGCTTTGAGAACCTTAGAGTATTCCTAATAACATAGTTATGAGTTGTGGTCATTGTGGCAGAGAATCCTGGATGTCCAAAGCAAGGGTGGCATGAAAGCAGTGAAAATAATTTTGTAAAACAGCTAGGATAGAGAGTTGCCTCCTAAATGTGGGCTTGAAAATCGTGCTTGAATATTAAACATATGCTTAGTATTTTTTTTCCAGTAGAACTAAAATAATGTCCCCTTAGTTTGAGGATTTGTTGGGACTAGTATGTTGTAAAGAAAATTATGATTTATTTTCTTCTACCACAAACTTTTCTGCACTTGATGCAGGCCTTTGGTACTTCAGTAGCTTCACCCTTGCTTCTTTGGTAATGTTTCATTTCAGCCACTTTGCTCCATTAAATGTATGCAATTAGAAAAGCAAATGGCAAATTTGCTATCACATCATTGAAGTATTTAGTTTCATAGACTTAAAAAGCAGAATTTGTTGCACCATGCTCTCCACACTGTAATATATACTATAAACATCAGAGAGAATAGGCTGACCTTAATATTTGCTTCCCAGACTAAATCGCCGCCTTGCAGCAGTTATTTCCCACTGAATAAAAAGTTTAATTTCACGCCCTGATTAGTGCTAGTATGTGCAGGTGGATATTTATTTTATGCAGCTAAACTAATCTGCCTTGGCAAATTATTTGCCAGTCAGCAGAGCTATAATTCCTCATGAGTATTTGGTACTAAATTATCATTCTCATTAGTAAGATAAAGCAGACTGTTCTAACCACAAAGTTTGGTTAGGTGAAGGGCTTCCTAAATAATCCTTGGATACAAGACATGGAGAGCAGCCTCAACATGACCAGTACTCTAGTGGTTTGTGATACGGAAAGAGGTAGTGAAGGTGTCATAGGAAGAAAACAAAATTCTGTAGCTATTTAGAGGTAAGGTAGGAATGTACAGTGTTTGGAGATTTCCTGTTTGAGATGTGCCTAACGAAGCAGAAATGAAACAGTTATCTTTAGAGCATTTCCAGTGGCCAACCAAGCTCTGATCTCTAGGCCATAAATGAGATGGAAATATAAAAATACAGTTTTCTTGTTAATTTTCAGTGTTAGCAGAAAGAATGACTTGAGACTGGAAATTAAGTAGCAGAGGAAACTTCATGGTCTGGTCTCATTTAAAATTCACAAATTCACATTTGAAGTTGGGATCAGAAAGTATTTCCTGACATACAGATGTTGACTGCTTATACTTATCAAGTGAATATGTTCATCTGCTGTGTTGACCTCTTTGGATTTTACTGCACTGTTAGTTTGTATCCTAGAACTTGTCAATGCAAAGTACTTATTTTCTATTAAAAGGAGAGTTATACCTGGAAATGATGAGCTCTGATTAAGAGTTGAGTGAAGGCATTCCACTGACTTTTTTCATCTGTATATATGCATTTCTTGTCATATTAATTTTTTCAGTGATTGCTGCAACAGTATTTGCAGTATAAATGATCGCATCCCATGTAAGACCAGCAAAACCAGCAAGCTGAGCAACTTGATTTTGTTGTATTAAAATTTTCATGCTAAATTCAACAATGCAGATGGAATAAGCTGTTTTCTCACTTCCTTGTCTTGCTTGCATTGTGTTATCTCTAACCTCCACGTGTGCTGGTGAGATTTGTGTAATATTTAATCATTCTCAGTGGCAAACTTAACTACTGTTTCTCATACTCAATATTTTCTTCAGTTTTACTCATTTCCTCCTTTCTACAATTCAGGAGATGCTCCACATTTCTTATGTATTTTAAGTGATTTTGCACAGAAGGGCTGAATGCAGTGTGTATATAACTGTGGAAACTGAAAATGAGTTGCAGCATAGCAGAGTCCAGTGGCTACAGCTAATAGTAAGTGCTCAAAGTACGATTAATAAGCAATCAGACATGAAGCTGTTTTCTTGACAGGATGCTAATTAGTGCTGAGAAAAACTTAACTTCTTGATCCCACAGAAACTGTTGAAAATAAATGTCCTAGGAGTTGCATTAAATATGTCCTCCTTATTAAACAATGATGCTTTCTAATGTCTCTGTATCTGAGGTCTCGAGGAACTCTGGCGTTGGACAAGTACTACCCCTGCTTTGCAGAAAGAGAAAGCTGAAGCTCAGAAATTTGCCTGGGGTCATGGATGGGAGGAATTTGTTAGGGTCTATGGTACACTGATAACAGAAGACACAATAAAAAGAAACCAGTCCTTCCAATAGCTAGCTTTGTGCTTCTGACCATATTTTGGTTAATTTTACAATTGGTTAGCCACCTGTTAAGATAACACATTTTATCATTAAACAAAATTAATTTTAAAAATGGCTTGAAACTGTCTGATTTTAATGGGATCTGAATATTCTTAGTTTTAATCTGCCTCATGAGGCTTGTCTTTCTTCTGGAAAGTACATTGTTACATCATTAAAATATCATCCCCTACTGAGAGAGAAATCGGTCCCATTCACTAAATGGCACTGCTGAAACAATGACAAGTATTTCTAAAAACTGCATTAAAATTCATTTTTTCTCTTTCATCTGCAAGTTCATGGTTCTATTAACCAATGGGTGCTCAGCCTGCTTGTAGCTGTGTGTGCACAGCCAAATTTGTTAGCTGGGATGGCAGTAGGTTTGAGAAGTGCCAATGAAGCCTTTCAGTTTTAAATTATTTCACTTTTCCACAGTGATTTTGCTTGGAAGCAAATGATTGATCATAATTTTGTGCTCTCTAGCTGCTTCTACTCCTCCTCTTTACTAAGAATTGAGAAACGTCCGATTTAATTTTCCCTCCCCCCCTTCACTGCTGAAACCACATCTGCAAGTTCATCTTAATGAGAGCAGCAGGAAAGAGAGAATGAGGAAGAATGGGAAAGCTCCACAAGGGGTCTTTCCAGTCTTCTTGAGGGAAGGACAGAAGTGTTTACTGTGTGTGAACAGGAGCCATGCAACCTCTTGGCAGAATCCACTGGAGCAACCAGTTTGGACTAGCAGAAGCAAAGAGCCTTAGTGCTGGTTTATTTTCCTTCATCCCATTTTAAGAAGGGAAAAGTTGCTGGGACATGCTATGAAGAAATGAATTAGTAGTTCTTAAGTGCAGTTGTATGTTAGCAGGACAGTAATAAGTGTACTTCTAACTGTAGTATAGATGGCCCATCTTCTTCAGAAGTGCCTGGAGCAAAACAGATCAGAAGATTGTAGAAAGGAAGTTTGGGAGATACCATCCAGTACAGAACTCTGGTGTGGATTTGTGCCTATATGTAGATTCTCTCAGATTGTAGTAGTCCTCTCTCTTGATGCTTCTGGATAAGGACATAGTTATTCTTACAGATTGTGAGGGTTTTTTTCAAATGTAGGAGAATGGATTAAATACTCAGGAGAAAGGTGATGGCTGTTCTTGCTTGGATACAAAGCAGGGCTATACTGTATTCTGACTAGACAAATCTTAATTTTTCTAGGCTTGCCCATATAGCAACCAAAACAGTCTCAAGTTGTTTCAGAGAAAAATAGTCTAGTGTGAGAGTCCATCATATGATATAGTCACTCTCCATCTCTACACAGTTTATTGTGAGAGCGATGCAGAATGGAGCAGTGTTTATGTGGGAATTGCTTTTAGTTTATGGATAGTTGGCCTCGCGTTCTGTCTGTTAAGAAGGTGCTGGTGGTTCTCCAGGGGGGTGGTTCATTGGGTCTGTTCAATGACCTTCTTATATGCCAAAACTTAATCAGCATGGAGAAATGCAGCCAGCTATCATTCATTTCCTGCAAATTAGAACAATGAGAAGTGGGTGTAGTATTAAACAATGGATCAGTCTTGTTTTAGAAGATGAGTCTTGGAAGTGTCTCAGCAGTTTTCTGAAGAAATCCAAACAATGTTATCACCCTCTTCAAATATGACAGAAGGTGTTTTCTGTTGCTAATAGGTTCAAAAAACCAAAACCCTACATTCCCTGTTAATTTTCTTTTTGTAAATTTTGTTTTTTGTTTTTTTTCTTCTTTTGACTGCAATGTCTCTAGTGAAGTGTGTGGCTTTTGTACTTTGTCTCAGCTGTTGTTTATAAACAAGCATAAATAACCTGAAAATTTTTTGACTGACAAGAACATATTCTTATATATCCATATCTCACTGACCTTAAAATAAGACTTTATGCAAAGACTAAAGAGTTTGGAGCCCATCATGAAAAGAAACATTTCTGCATGGGATTGGAACAGGTCTTGTGGAGCATGGGTTTGAGTCTCTTTTGCAAGCTACTCAAAACAGTTCTTAAGTGAATGGACTTTTCTTTGCTATGCCATTGTTGAGCTATTCTAAATTTTACTACTTTGGAAGCTAGAATTCTTGTTCTTATTTTCCAGTTTAACTGAATTCGTGGCTAATACATTCTCATTTGTTCTTGTGCCAATGTTGTCCTTGAGTTTAAACAGCTCTTCTTGCTCCCCTGTGTTCATCTGCTTATTTGTGGAGAGCAATGGTATTCTCCTTTGAGCTGGATCTGGTCAGGCTAAACCAGCATTTTTTTTTTCCATCATAAGATGTTTCCTATAACCCTTGGTAATCTTAGCAGACCTTCTTAAACAGCTGCAGAATTTTATTAGTCTCTCTGGAACATGAGTGACTAGAACTCTACAGAATATTCCAGGAAAAATGTTTTTGATTCCTCATATAAAGGCAGTAATCCTAATTTCTCTCCTGGGAATTTTTCACTTTATATAATATCCTACAGTAGTATTTGCCATCTTCATGGCTACATCTTATTGCTGAACCAACATTACCTGATGAGTAACATATCATAGGGCCTCTTCCCCTCTTTTCAGTTACTAAGTCCCTAGTTTATAATGGGAGTAATGTTACTTTTTAATTTATGTACATCTTGTGTTGGTTCTGTTACCCAGATCTTCAAAATGCTGTGTCCTATGTGTTTATGATGTGTCTTAACTGTCTTCAGACAATTTCACTAGCACACTGGTAATTCTTGTTTTTTTTAGCCATTGGTGAGAATGTTTTGACATTAATTTCAAGATTAATAATGGATTTCAAAAGGGATCAATCTCTGTACAGCCTGATAGTTCCTTTTTCAAAATAATCTGTGATCCTCTACCCTTTTTAGTTTCTTATCCTCCTTACAACTCTGGTATTAATCCTAATCCTCTCCATTTTAACTAGTAACTTCCTACATGTTGTCTGTCACATGCTTAACTACTTCTAATTTGTCTGGACTTCAGTGATCTTCTTAAAGAAGAAGATTGGGTTAGTCTAGCACTAATTCTAATTTGTTCTAAATTGGGAGCAGATTTACTTACGCCTCCCATGGTGACTGCTTCATTTTGGCAATAGTTATCAGTACTCAGTCTCAGTAGATTTCCTTTCTTGGGAGACAGGACATATTGTTTGTTTGTTGTTTGTTTGTTTTTTCTGCTTTTTTTAAGGGTCGGCCAGTCTTTTCTGCAACATTTTAGACTCATTCTGGTTAATCTTCTTACAGATAATTATTTTGCATGGGGATGCTACCAGAGGCTGCTCGTTAGGTATCTTCAGCTGTTTCTGTTTCCTCTGCTTTATTCTTTCATCATAGTCCTCCAAGACAGCAGGCTTCTTTGGTACTTCTTGTTTTAATGATGAGTTTCTTCTAGTTAAGCCAAGCAGACAAGTATTTACATCATATGTCAGTCTAAAGGAGTTGAGAACTGTCATAGAGCTGAGCTCAGTACAGGGCATTTAGATCAGGAAAGGAAATTTAATGTATCTTGGTAACTACTTGGGACAGTTAGTTTTGGATTCAAATTTACTTGTGATTGGTGAATAGGTTCCACACTGTAATTTGTGCTTTGTGAGGGAAATGGGATAGAGTGGCCATTCCTGCAAAAAGGAAGGGTTTTTTGTTAGTTTATTGAATAGGAAAACGTTCGGCTTGAGTGCTGGAGTCTGCTCGGAAGATGAGAGTTTATTAGCTAAGCAGAAAATGTGGTTGAGTGCTGGAGTCTGCTCTTGAAAGCATTGCCATTTCTTTAGAAAAAAAACCCTCAACGATATTCCTCTTACAAATTTGTCTGCTTAATGTGTGAACTGCAGATTTCCTTCCAGGGTAGTTGGTACAGACCTGCAACCCATCTCTTCTGCATGCTTTTTTGTCTGCTACCTAAAATTCAGCAGAAGGTCAGGAAGGTGAAAGTTAGCATTGTAGGTCTTTTGCTGATTATGGAGATTGTAATTTTCCAGACTTCTTAATTTTGTTGACCTTGGCTGTATTTTTTTCTCAAGTACAGAATTTTTTATTCCTGGTGCTCTGAATCTCACTGAAAATTCAGAATCCAGGTGAGCTTTCTGACTTCTCTACAGACATAAGAAAAAGAGGCAAGATACTTAAAAGGTATCAGCTTAATTTTATTGATCTCTAGACAAGCTTCCAGCTTCTTCTATACATAATGCTTGCCCTGTGAACACCACTGTTCTTGCTGGATACTTACATGGCACAAGTTCAGACAGTATCATGAGAAATGTAGCTTCTCTTCACCATAGATCTTGCAGTCTTGAATGAGGCTGAATATAGGACTTGAATTTCAGATGTAAAATGTCAAGTGGTTGTGAAATCAAGCAAGTTTTTACTTATGGGCAGAAAGAGGATCTCTTTACACTGCTATAGTAGGCATGTTTCCAGAGCTTGCTGTTAGGTTGTCCAGAGATTAATGGAGTGCTCTCACAGGTCTCCATTTTGTTTTGAATACTGTAGCTCGGTATTCTTGTGAGCCCTTAAGAAGCTAACCAGGTGTTTCATGTTACAAAAGTAGTTTTCCTGGTAGCTGCTGCTCTTGCAGGAATTAAAAACTTGTGTCTTTTTATTTGTCAAGGAATATAAATAGACATTCTCCAGTGGGTTTTGGTTTTGAGCAGGTCTTGGTCAGCGTACTCCAAACAGATTCACTGAAGAACTAGTGTAGCCATGTTCACCATGTGCGGTGAATTCATTAAGTTTGCAGGCAGGCAGAGCTTACTGCTTGGGAGTGCTGTGTCCTTCTGAAGGAGTTTGTATCAAACTGAGATCTGACAGTCAACTGGCTCAGTGTTTCTCACAAAGGGCACACTTAAATATTGGCAGCTTATGGTTTTAGAATCAGAGCGCTCATGGTTTCCTCTCCTAACAATAATGAAAGATTTTGAACTCCTTCAGTTTTGTTGAATTAGAGGCCACAGATCTAACTGTGCCTTGAGTACTGCTTTGGCTAACTGTGTCTTATTTTGAGTACTGCTTTGGGCAGTAGACTAAGGTATCTGTTTGGGCCATGAAGCTGTATTTTGCGTAGTGGGAATTTAATTTATTGCCATAATGCATACAAACTCATTAACAGGTTCTAAGCCACAGGGGATATTTTCCTTTGCTGTGGAAGTCATCTCAACTGGACAGTCTTCAGTGCAACTGGCCATGCCCTCCCATGTCATGACTGACAGATCTAATTCTTTGTAGCCAAGAGCCTGTTAGTTAATGGAATTGTGAATATTGTAACTCAGAGGCAACCTTTGGAGTATTAAATTGCATTATTCCTGTTCTTCACTTTATTAAACAAGGTGTTATATCTAATGAATACAATGTTATCATCAAATAAATACTGTGTGTAGATCATAACTTAAAAGGAATGAAAATATAAGTAGCTTCACTATTGTTTTGCAGTGACAGAGATGGGTTTAGCTTGCCTCTTTAAATCGTATGTGATAGAAACCCAGAGTGAATGTCCTCTCTCAAGGAAAAGGAAGTGTTATGGGTTATATGATCAGATTAATAAGATACTTAGTACATATATATTTCATACAGGTCTCAACTCTTTCCCCCCCCCCCCCGGAGATTGGTTGTAAAAGTTTA